ACTGTTTCAGCAGATGTTTTTGAGCTGGTTACCCCTGTATTTAAAAGTGGGGTGACCAGGGCTGGCCTTACCATGAGGTGAACTGAGGCGGCTGCCTCAGGTGCCAGACTGTGGGGGGGGAAGGAGGCGCCACTAGGACCCAGAGTGTAGAAAATTGTGTCTGATGCTGGTGCATATGTATCCCCTCTGCAGTAACATGAGAGGAGTAGAACAGGAAGAAGGCAGAATTGAGACCTTTCAAAGTTTTGGCCCAAGTGAGGAGGCATGGGGGCGTCATTTGAACTTTCCACTTGAGGTGCCAAAATGTTGTGGGCCGGCCCTGGGAGTGACTCTAAAGCATTCTCCGTGAGGGTTTTCATTAGCCCAAGAGGCATGCTGCTGGGCACATCCATTGGTTGAGTTGTTCCAAAGGAAAGCTTATGGTTGTGGGATGGAAGGGAGTTTTGCGTGGGGCAGGGGAATTAGGGAAGTTGAGGGGGTTTTTAGTTGGCAAGAGGTGATAAACTGCTATTTAGGATTTTTTGTTCTTGTGATGTGTGTCAGTACACGGTGATGCTTGGGGTAGATCATCTTTTTTGTGTTCATATAAATAAAATGTCCTATGATGGAGCATCCTGCTGACCAACTGAATTTCCCAGTGTCTGAAGAGGGGAAGCATATGATGACCTCCCTAACTAGAGTTAGTTAGTGAATTTGTTTTCTTTGTTCTCTGATAAGCCTGAGTTACTGTGCAAAAAAAACTACTGATGCTATAAATAAGTGCTGACTAATACATCCTCCATCTGGGTCTTGCTGCAACAGCGAGATGGTAAAACCTAATCAAAATAAATGTTATATCTTTTTTCCTTGCCTGTCGTTTTTTGTTCTTTCATCTTACATGTCGTTTTTATTATTTATTTCCCATATCACATTAGTCTACCAGTCTCTCAGTAATATTATGTTAATTGAGTCATTCCTTCGTAGAATAGCCTTCTACCCCCAAACTGTATATACCTAAAGCTCATTTTCTGTCCTAATTCCTTATCTACCCACTGTTATATTCTCCCTGTACATCCATATTGTATTCTCTCTTCTTCTTATCCCAATCTTTTATTTTGTTCTTCCATTTTAAATAATTCTTATCCAGACATACTCAGCTTGGGCTGTGAATCAGTGTTGTGAACCGCTTAGAGCAGGAAACTGGGAGTAAGGCTAATAGGGCTCATGCTCTTCTCTCTGCATGTATGCAAGGGGTATCCTTTTCCTGGAGAAGGAGAATTCTACCTTTGGAACATGCTTTCCATTCCCTCCCCCACCACCACCAATGGGGTTCCAGGAGGTGTTGGCTGTGTGGCATTAGGAGAGTTGGTTAGGGTTCTCCTTGCTTTCTACACCATAAGGTAAAGCAGCACAGCTAAAGCATGAAACTGGTTGAGGTTTTTGGTTTTGTTTAAACCACATGGTTGTCAGGAGATACTGTAAGTCAGATTGTGTACTACAATTAAAAGGTTACTACTAGCATAAGGACACAGAGGAAATGAAAATTTAACATTCAAATGAATTTCATTTTACAATGTTCAGTATTAGCAAGTGCAGCATAAGCCTTAAAACTGTGGTTGTAATGGATTCCAAGTAGAGTTACCAGGTAGTCATTAAAAAAAAAATACCCGACACGCTTCATGGCGGGAGGAGGGAAAGGGACTGGCCGGGAGGAGAGCAGTGCTGGCTGGGAGGAAGGGGGAAATTTAACATTCAAATGAATTTCATTTTACAATGTTCAGTATTAGCAAGTGCAGCATAAGCCTTAAAACTGTGGTTGTAATGGATTCCAAGTAGAGTTACCAGGTAGTCATTAAAAAAAAAATACCCGACACGCTTCATGGCGGGAGGAGGGAAAGGGACTGGCCGGGAGGAGAGCAGTGCTGGCTGGGAGGAAGGGGGGGAGGGAAACAGAG